CTTCCTTCTTTCTGCTATGGAAAAAGGAATCCGATACCAACTTCCCAGTTGAAACAGAAGGCGAGTGAAGGAGACAGTTTCAGCGTGGAGAAATAAGGCACAGGAAGGGTCTGCTGGACAAGCAGGAACATCCATCTCTGATCCATCAACTTTTATTATACCTGTGAAAATTCCTCAGACTAAGAAGGGGAAAGCATTTTTTGAGTAAATGCTTTGATATAAAGACCAACACACCTCATTTTAAGTACATTCTTTGAAGCACCTGTTAGCTTTGAAAAGGGTATTCCCCTTTGCTGCAAGTTACCTAGAACATTTAAAATTTGGTTTTAGACTTATATACATTATTGACAGCTGGTATTGTTACAGATCTAACACTTTATTTTGGTCAAGGCAGTTGATTCTCAGTGTCTGGTAGCATGATTTAATGTCAGTCATGTATACATTGCTTTTGCCCCTTGTGTTTATTTGCATTGCTCTAACAGCACTACGACAGAACGAACTTCATAGTTAGAACTCGAAAGGTTTAAAATTAACACGGGGATTCCCCTCCAAGCTGAAAACAAACTTGTTTTCAACTTAGAAAATTTAAGATTTCAGACTGGCTTGGTGGTATCCTACCACAGAGGAGGTCTGGGATTATATTCCTTCATCAAGGTTTCCCCAAACAGCAAACCTTCCAAATCAGCTTTATGAAATGCTCCCCCCACCATCAAACTAGACATGCATCTTTGAGGGGTTTTAATAATAATAATAAAAAAAAAAAAGTAAAAAAAAAAGAAAAAACCCCTAAGTATTTGCACTTTCCACTTCCTTCAGTGCAAGTTTCTGTTCAAAAGCTTAACAGCATTACCTCCCCCCACTGCGGACCACTACAAAAAGATTAGCTGGTCATCTTTTTCACCAATTTAATGCAGCTAGGTTGAAAGAAAGGAAGTAAGAGAAAGAGGATGGGAGGTGTGGCAAGACAGACACCTCACTTAAAGGCTTCTGGCTCTCCTGAGAGTCTCCCCCCAGTGACAGAGGAAAGGAAATGATTTCATGAGGTTTTACTACCAGCTTTGACAGACAGTCACGCACAGACATACTTACTCTTCAGTGTGCTTGGTAGTGGCTGAGCAGGGGTAAAAAAAGAAAAAAAGAAAACAAGAAAAAAAAAAGAAAAAAAAAGAAAAAAGAAAAAAGGAACTTCCAGGTAATTTAGCATGTAGCGTAAGTCCGATTACAGTGAGGAATGAAGAGCAGTCTACTCTGGCCTGCTACTTCTCCTGAAAAGGAAAAAATCAGCAGCTCCAGTTGCAACATAGCTTTCTTCTATTTCAAAACATTTATTCTCCAGCATTCCAAGATTAACATCAGCCCCTCAGCTTTAAAACACATTTTAGATAGCACATACTTTCCTCAATCCGTCTTTGATTCTGTCTCTCTGATAAGTCAACAAGAATGTCTTTCTAAGAGGCTGAACTTTTGCGATTTTGGATTTATTCTGAGAGGAAGTATCTTAAGGCTATTTTTCCCCTACTATTATCCTGGAGCTAGCTGTCTACTCAAGCCCTCCTGCCACAGAGCTGAAATATAATACAGTAATTTTCTAGACAGCTGCATGCTCGGTGCTGGTACAGAAAGACAGCTACCCATAACTATTATTTCTATTGTTTTCTGCTAGGCAGAATGAGCATTGCTTGGCTCACCAGGGTCCACTAGCACGTCCAGAGAGCACAATCACTAGTTACATGCTGGCAGCATCCCCTGCAATAAAGGCAGATTTTGCCAATCTAATCCCACTTTCATCATGGTTTGATGGCACAGGGTCTGCTGACAATATTCAGTTGAACTCCTTACGTCTTTCATCTGCTATACACTTCTGTCCTAAGCTGCTATGATGAAGGGATATATTGCCCCCTCTGCTGTCCCACAAAATTAAGAAG